GATGCACCGAAGGAATGTCATCCTTCGGGGACCTCGTGGCCCTGAGCTCAGGGACACGGTCGCGTGGCGTTGACGAATCTGTTTAGTGCCATCATAATACCCAGCCGACGGTGCCCTTCGAGAAATTGACGGATCGAAGTCTATGGAGATGTTTAGGCCAGGGAGCAACTACCGTGCCGGTTTGTTTGTGCGGTTCTGCTACGGCAACTACAAGGCCGCGTGCTTCCCTGAATATTGCACTTTCTTGCTCAGTTTCTTCCTCGCCTTTCTTTCGGTAACTTCGCGCAATCCTTTCGCCAGTGTAACAGCTCGACATCTGGACGTTTAGAATTTATTTCATGAATTAACACAGCAATATTAATTCATTTCAGTATACACAGTCGGTCCATATATATTCGTACTCTCTAAGTCTATCGAAGAAATTCGTTTGAATTAAATTTTAGTCAATATGTTTATGTATATACATATAAACGTATACATGTACAAGCTTATTCGTATACATATTTGTAATGAAAAAATTAATTTGGTAATATCAAAACTATTATTTGTATATTCGTACCCTCTACGTCTATCGAAGAAATTTGTTTGAGTGAAATTTTAGTTAAAACGTTTCTGTATATACATGTAAACGTATACATGTATAAGCTTATTCGTATACGTATTTATATGTTTATACATATAATGAAAAAATTAATTTGATAATATCAAGACTATTATTTAATTTAGTCAAACTTTTCAATAAACATAGAGGTACGAATTAAAGTGGTCATCTTCTTGTACGTCTTCCTCGCGTTATTAAATCGATTCGATGCTTTCTTACCAAAAATGTATCAAGTGTCGGTCCCTATTACTTTGTCCGAGTTATTTTGTTACCGAAGAACCTGATTTTAGTTAACAGTTTCACCCAAGCTTCTATATCTATTCGCCTCTACCCTGTAAATACAATCTACCTTAGAACCGAGCCTGCAAACCTCGATTCCACGAGTTCCAACTAAAGAATACCAATCCTTCCAAAAATCCGCGTAAAAGTCGCAATAAAACCGCGTTTATTGCGCGAATAAAGGACGCGACGTTCGATGCTACTCGAAGAAAAGAAAAGAAGAGAAAAAGCGCGTCCCGATGCGTTTGGAGAAACGAAATCGCTCTTATTAATCTGCGCAGTCGGTCGCCGGGATCCCGAATGCCTTCGACCTACCGAAGCGGGGTTAGAAGTAAAAGGAAGACCGAGTGCCAGGACGACCTTGGAGCCACGCGCCTAGGAAGGTGTTTTAAGGGCCCTATAATGGTGCCCCGGAATACCCATTCCGTTTCTTTATCCTCTGGTACCTTCGCCTCTCCCCCTTCTCTGTCTTTATCGCGACCATAACTTCTGGCCTCGTTCCCTCTCGACTTTCCCGGTTAGGATCGTCGCTGTTTACTGCAGGGAACGAGTGGGCAGCGTGGCAATGAAAGGACGAGGAAGGGGGACAGAGAAAGAAGAGACAGTCCAGGGAAACTTTCATATTTACGAGGTCGTTGCGCGTCCGTTTACGATGGTACAATTCCTGTTTGCGATATTACTTATTTTCATTAAAACGGTTGCCGGTGGGTGGCTTCTCTGGGCCAGGCAACAGGGCCCCAAGGTCGTGGGGCCCGCAAGGTAGCAGCGCGTACCGTTGCCTGCTGGCCTTATGGCCTAGCGCTGATGCACCCTAACGATGCCAGAGTATCCTTAGTCGAAGGTCTGTCAAGGATAATGTAGAGCGAACCGGGCCACGCGCAACATAGCTTCGGAACTGCTAAGCGTCCTTTCCATTTTTTCTTCTCGCTGATCGAACCAATCCAAGAGATTATTCTACTCTGGGACTGTCTGGGCCTGAAACCTCTACAAAACGAAACACAAGCTTTCTTCGGGCGCGTTACTTTACCTCTGCAATTCGAGTTCAGACTAGCTCTGCCTCTGCGAGTCGACGTTCACCTCCATAAATCAAACTTTTATCATCGCTACCTCTATAACTCGAAACGCTATGCGACAGTGACTGTCAGTAATTGACCAGACGATACTGTCTACTCTCTTTCGATAGTTGGAACGCTCTTGAATATCCAAAAATATTGGAGGACGATTTCTCTGTTCTCGGCCCTGAAACCGTATTCGTATCGAGGACTTCGAGTTTGAATTTAGATCTTATTTCATTTCAAATTTTTAACTACTCGCTTTCGTTGCCTGGTCTCGACACGTACTGAAGATTTTGCCTAAAACTACGCGAGATTAACATCGGCACATTCGATAAAAACGATTAGACATAGTTACATCGGAATACATAGAATACATAGAACATATAGTTACATGGAATAATTTCAATTTTTCCACCACGAGCCATGAGAAAACCTCTTTGAGTCATCAGTCAATGGAAATAAATCGTTAACATAATTTAACGAGGAAAATATCTCGGCTATCCGACGCACGAGATGGAAGCCGCAGCAATGGTAGCGCTTCTCCTTGAAAATATCCCAATCGATCTTTCCTCCCCTCGTGTAGGTACCTATGGAAGCCCGGCAACCGGCGTCGCGACGCCTACTCCAGCTCCACCCACGTATCTCGTACATGCGCAGCAAAAGTGCAGGGGTTGACATGTCAACGAAACCCTCGTAAAATGGGCCGTTCCTTAATCAGCTTGTCCATACTCGGAGGGTTGGTTACGTGTCCTCGTAAACGTGGATCGTTTCATTGCTCCGAGATGTCGGCCGATGAAAAGTAAACAAAGTACTCACTTCTTAATAATTATAAATCAATAGAGACGCTTGCAGAAATATAAAAAAAAAGTTGGAACGATATCTCCGTTTATTTGTCAGAATTCGAAGTATCTACAGGAGATGAATTCGCAGAGTTACTTTATGTCTAGGACTTGAATTTTAAATGATTTTTAATGCATACATTTCTTCCGGGTTGAGATAAGCAGCGATGGATCGTTAAAATGTACTTGAAAGATTTGCATCAGATTATCAGGTAATAATCCGATCAACTTCAAACTTACACAGAATATTCCTGTATGTGTTAATAATTTACTTAATTACATATTATTCCGATAGAATCGTGGCCGTTTTATCAAAGAGTGGCGGATGGAAATATCCAGTTAGAAAAATCTGTTCTAGGTAAAGCTCGCGATTAGGGACCCGGACGTTGCTGGCTCTACCTGTGCCGTAACAAGAGCAAAAGCATAAACGATACAAAGGCCGCGCTTGTACAGAAGCGAGAGTGTCTATACAAGGGCGCGACAATGGATGCTCGCGATATGGTGCAGTTTTACGAGTAGTAAGGTCGACCCGCTTCTTCTCCCTCGACCTAGCTCATGATTTAGGGTATGTTTACCTGCAGTTAAGTACCTTGACGCGTCCGTGACGGCGTGGAAGAGCCCATTTGGCGTAAATAAGGGAAACACCGTAGGGAGCCTACTTCAAACGCATAGAAATCCTAACAATTTCTGTAAACACGCACGCTCATCCCCTTTTTCGCCATACTGGCACGTAATACGCTCGAAAATCACGAGGAACCCCGACCATCGTGAGTTTATCGTGACTTTCGGCCCCTATCGATGTTTGGATTGGTGCATGTACACGTGTTAAATAGACGTTCCGGATTAGACGGCTTTAGCGACTAATGAGAAATCAAAAGACGGGAAATGTAGCTGGCGATAAGTAGAACTCGAGGACAGTTTCGATCAATTTTCACCTGATTCTCGAATTGTAGGAGATCGATTATATAACTTAATTTTATTAAAAAAGAAAGTGGAAAGAAAACGCCTGTTTGAAATGGCAATAGTTCCGACCATTTCTCTAAGATGGCGCAATATGCCATCATTGTCGTCGCCATCTAGCGTTCAAGAGGCCGAACTATCGCCTGCAACGCCTCTATCGGGAAAACGCCCAAGTTTGTTCTCAATAATTCCTTTTTTCACTGCTACATGGCGTCACTTAATGGTAAGTTACCGACAACTATCGGTACATTACCATCATGTCGGTAATTACCATATAAGTGACGCCATCTAGCGTAAGGAGTAAGAACTATTTCGCTACAAATTTGGGCATTTTCCCTCCGGTGGTGCCACTGTAACCCAAACAATACCGAGGGGGGTTGGGAGGTAAGACATAATAAATTACTCGTGTTTATACGATAAAAAATGAATTTAGTGCAATCATTTCTACACCCAGGTTAATAAGATACATGAATAACCCAAAGATATTATAGAATCTCTTTGGTCTAACCCAGTAGGACGTTCACTCTTATAAAAACTGCACAAAATCAGAAAAATCTGATTACCTCACCTAGCTTACTTCGTTGTTTTGTAGTTATTATTCTTTACATTATAAATATTGTTAAAACTGAATAGATGTAAAGTGATGAGAAGATAGGACATATGGAAAATTAGAAAGTGAGGTTAAGAAAACAGGCGAGAATCATGCAACGAAAGCAATGTAATAATCTACGTTGTAAGATTCCAAAGAACGGAATCTTTTCTTCCCTCGACATACACCTCAGAGAATAGATCGTACCAAATAACGAGAAGTTATCGTGGGGTCGCAATATTGCACTGTTTTCGAAAACGGTATTTCGTTTGCATTATATCGTTTCTAGAACTAAGAAACGTGGTTTCCTGCGCTGATTAACTGTGATCTATAAAGAGAAATAACAAAAAAAATTAAGGACAACGTTGAGAGCTACTATGACTATCCACATTGTCATTGCTGATATGTGAATTAAAAAGCAACTGCTTGGGGGGGGGGGGGGTCAAAATTAAATCTCTAGTAGAACCAGGTGATAGAGAATATGTGGAATTGTGAGAATGGACAGCAAAAACACTGCTCAATTAGTATGTCTCGTCTATCAGAGCTGAAAACACATCGGACTATATTTCGATAGTGTTCTGTATGCAGGCAGAAGACGTATATCATAGAATCGAAGCCATAAAACGTGGTGGTATTAAGAAATATTATCTCTTCTACTCTCAGTAACAACGTTGTAAGAGTGGTTACACTTTATTTTTTTTACACAACCAATCGTCTCTCTCTTTTCGATTGTACAATCTTTTACAGAATACCCTGTAAATGCGTGTGTATTTGTGTGTGACGTGTCAGTGCGCGCGCGCGCGCACCTAAGTTGTAGGTACACGTGAACGAATCTGTCTGTAATTTCGGCAACTCATAATTTATACGAAAAAGCGTGATAACACATATGTATACTTCACTTTCGAGAGCCGTTCCGTTACGAATAGGAGTTCTGTGACTTGTATCGATCCAACATTGGCTAGTAACACATAACCCCACCCCCGTGAAGAAACAACGCTACTCTCGTGTGCTCGCGATTAGTACTCATGTTTCTGGTTGCGTATCGTGTCCCACGTTTCACACGATTTCTACACGAATTTTCTAAAATTAACATGATTAATAATACCACTTGCGTTAACTGCTATAACATCTAAAAAAAAAGAAACAAAAAAAAGAAAAAGAAAAAAGAAATACATTTAAAATCACCGATAAATATTATTCGATATTTTTCCCTTCGAATCGAAAACGTTCCGAGCTTATTAATCGTAAGAATACTTCGCGATAATATTCGATCAATAAAACAACTTCAACGAGATAAAATTTCAAACTCACAGACAATATCGATATAAATCTTATCAAAATATTTTTCGCTTAACAAAAAAGAAAAAAAAAAAGAAATGAAAAGTATAAATCAACATCCTGAACATATGAAGTTCGCAAAACTCGTTCCCACAATTAACAATATCCGATACAATGTAACCAGAAGTATAGGCACTAATGTTGCCTTCGGAAAGTCAGGACTGCAAGAATGATAAAACGACCGCGACTCAAGGTTTGGGATAAAAAGAATTTAGTATTTACAGTTCGCATCCGACACCCTGCTAACTCATTAATCCGACTCAGCCAATGTTAGACCGATCGATTGCTCTGTTTGGTCATTATTATCGTCGAGAACAGACAAGGCAATGAGCCAATCCAGCATCCCACGGTACGTGACCTACGTATCAAACCTTATTCAACCTAAAGAGCCAAGACAATCGAAGGCACACGTGCTAGGATTTTGGGGTATATTAGTATATACGAGACTCGAGCGTTACATGCTTCGGTTGCATTGGATCTTTGGTCTGTACACCGATACAGCTAATACACCAGAGATGGACAAAATTCTTATTTAAATAAAAGTCTCGGGTAACGAATAAAAGATAAATAACTGTTCATTCGTTACTTATTAAATAGAAATTAACATTTTATTCGTTATGGACTATTTTATATCTCGCATTGAACGAACTTATCTTAGTAATCGATCGATAGAATTAACGTTACGAATAAATTGCTATACACTTGATTTTATTCGTCATGTTATTCCGAGTGGCGCATTATTTTATAGGCGACACGAGTTTCAAAAACTCATTCTTGTTATTTATATGTAACATATTTTTTAAAAATGAATTTTCTAATGTAAAAATAAAATAAAACAACATTTTTGTTAACTTCTATTACAAACACATTAGCAGAACAGTCGTTCTATGACCTTAAAAAAGTTAAAAATCATGTTAGAAATTCCTTTGGTTAAGGAAAGTGTAAAATAGTATAACAAAAAAAAAAACTAATGTATAATTTCTCAGTTCGGAACCACGTAATTCCAAACAGAGAAGTAAAACAACTTATTAAATTAAGTAAAGACACGTGTATTATTTCTGAGTTAAACGGTTCATTTAAGTTGTATATTTCGTTTATATTGTTGCCTCGATAAATAAGACTAAATTTAAAAATATTCTTAATTCGTTGTTTCGTTTTTTTTTAGTTAGGTGGGACTCAAAATTCTATTTCGTCTCGAGCCCCATAAACGTATAATGCGCCACTGATTAATCGAATAAAATTTTGCCCATTTCTGTAACCATGCTGCATTCAAGACGAAACGTTTTAATTTTGCTTGAGTTTATCGAAATCGATTTCGGCGTAATTGAAGCTTTCCTGCGACGCCGGCGAGACTGGCGCCGTGCTTCCGATCTCGGGAAGATCGAGACTAGCGTAGTGCAAAATTGTCGGGCCAGTTTGCAGCTTGTCGTGACTCTCGTTCTCTAACGGACTTGGCGTAGCTGTAGGCGTTGGTGTTGGCGTTTCGTCAAGCAATTTGGGAGACGATGGTTGCTTTTCGACGGTTGTACTCTCGACTGTTCCCTTAAAACCAGAGAGCGTAGGACTGGTGTTAGGAGACGCAGTTATCAAACGTGGCTTCGACAAATTCATATCGGCAAACCTCTTTGTTACAGTGTTTAATATGTGATCTTGCGAGGCCATCAAGTCGGATATCATTCGATTGACTTGTTTATCCTTTCCTCCAGGACTAGGCGATCTGTCGTTGACTACGTTCACAGACGTGTTGTTCGCTTCTGTTCCTGAAATGGAACTATTGACCGTGTTAACCCTACTAGCGGGTTCTACGATCGAACAGTCGTTAATCTTGGAAGTAACACTTAACTCTGGCGATTCGTCGTTATTCTTTTGATGAATGAAGGATTTCTCGGGCGACTGAGGACTATTTAAGGAGAAGGGGAAGATAGTCGCCGAGGAACCCGTCGGAGTTGCTCGCGGAGGCGAGGCAGGAGTACTCGACAAGCTCTCTGATTCGGGACTTCCGTTTAGGGGTAGGAAGCTAGGCGCTTTTACAGGCTTGTTACCGGCTTGGATCGCGATCGGTTGGGAACGCAACTTCTCCTTCCTACTACCCGTTCGCGTTGGTTTACGGTTACTTCGATTACTCATATTCATGTTTATGTAGTCTTGTTCTAAGTTTGTTCTCGATTTAAAGTTCATCTCGACGTAATCGAAGGGTGGACGTCGTGGAAGATCAACCGGTGCCGTTCTCGTAACCCCTAAAACGTAAGTAACCGCTATGCGTCATAAAGAAACAATCATTCAAAAAAATACAATAATAGCTACGGATCGATAAGTCAATTCTTGCAGTGTTTCAGAACTACGAGATCGCTTTGGAACGAATTTCTCACCTGGTGGCCCATTAGATTGGACGCATTCTTCTTGCATAGGCGACGAAATTAGCTTTGGACTCGTATCGGAGTGGGACCAATCCTCCATTACACCACGCATTCTCATGTATGGGCCTTCTGCCTCTTCCACTGGCTTCAAAGTAGTAAACTCGGGTTTATGTGTGGAAGCAGAAGACGTTACATGTACATGACTATGGTTCTGATTGGCAGTGATTGTATTATTATTGTTATTACGATTGATCTGTAAAATTAAACATTATTTTTTAAATAAAATTTAGTCAAAGATTTATTAAAAAGTTAAATAATAATGAATACCTTATTAATGCGACTCATATCGACGTACGGGGCAGTGGTCGACGATGGCGGTTGTCCAGGAGACATATCAACATAGGAACTGGTGTCGGTGGCAGTAGAGTATGAATGCGATTGAGAGTGTGACTGCGAATAAGACGAAGGCGATGAATGAAGTGTTGTAGAAATACTGGGTTTTGTGAAATCCAATTCCATTAGATCTTCCATGCGTTCAGAGGCAATGGAACAACCGGAGTTGTGCCCCCAAGAACTAGACAGCAATGGCGCCGAGTTGGATTTGGTAGAACTCGAATTCTCGCAACCAACGGGCAATGGTGCAGTGATTACATTGGCTAACCTCCCAATCTCAGGTCTTTTAGACCTACTGCCTACAGAGAAAGCTCGTACTCTGCTGGCTTCCTGTTGAGTAATGTCCAACCTATCCAAAACAGCGCGAGACATTGAGCTGTTTCATTTCTCTTACCTATGTTTGTAATCGCTATCTTACAAAATTTACATGAATACCGTACCTATTCTTACGATGCCTATTCACGGGTTCTGGCCGAGATCCAATGGAATAGGCTCTCGCTGGTCTAGCTTGTAAATCATCACCTGGCGGTAGGAAGCTAATTACTTTATCCAAATGATATTCGGAGAACCGTAAGTCTGTACTAGGTGTACCAGACGTAACGGAACAGCTACTCCCACCGTGCTGAGACGTATCATCGGAAAAATGGCCATTGTGACTATGCGAAGGATCCATATCAACGTAACCGTTGTTTCCAACAGGTGCCATAGGTACGTAACCCTCTGGTAAAGTATTAGTTTCTTCGATAAGAGATGACGCCCGCGAGTGCGAATGCCCTGTCCCTACATTCATCGGCATATAGGCTCCACCGCTGCGACCAGGACTCGAATCACAAGGACTGTACATATCCATATAGGAACTCTGCTGCCAATACAGCAAACGACATGTGTTATTATTTCATTTTTATAGAAATAATTAATAGACTAAATCGAAGAAGAGTAAAATATGTACATCCTCTTATGACAAGTTATTCTGAGAAGAACCGAGTAATAAAACTGATAGCTCACCTGGGAAGGAGAATGTGACTTGAAATTTGGCGAATATTTGTAATGCGAGTGCGACATAGTCCACGGAGCATAATCGTCGCCATTCTCCTCCAAAATGACAGGCTCGTCGGGCGTCAAAGAATGTCCATATCGGGATACCGTGCCCTCCTCTAATACACTTTCGCCACCATCGTCCATCGAGAGGGATGAGCCCGCGGAATCAGTGGAATAAGCTCCGGAAGCGGGACTGAGAGGCATCGAGCCGATCGGCGGCGAATAGGAAAGGCCTCTCGCGTACATAGAATGCGGTCTCAGGATGTGAGACACGAAATGAGTCCGAGGATGGCTCAGTATCGATGTAGGGTGACTCTCGCTGGTGGTACGAGCCCTCGAGGGTAAGCTGTCACATCTGTCGCGTCCGTTTGGACCTATAAAAAGATGATAGTTAGAGACATCGTCGCGAAACATCGAGCACAGGCAACAAAATTTTGAAAAACATCCATCCTCCCAGCATAGCAGCGGTTAGTTCGTTTGCATATCCAAATGATTCCATATAGATATCTGTATATATTTATGCATATTCATTTAATATAATTTGTTATTCATATAAACATATATTTTAGGTCAAGCAATGGATAGTGATTAAAGAGATGATTCCAAAACGGCGGGACAAATCAGGCGGAGTATATATATATATATATATATATATATATATATATATATATATATAATCGATGCGCAGGAGGTTGCAAAACAATCAAGGAAGAATGTGTCGCATTCGGAGTGAACAGAGGTAACGTGAGAAACGTTACTCGAAAGGAATGCCGCACGAAATATTCCATTGACCGCTTTGCGCGACGAAGAGAACGGAAGAAACAAAAGGAAGCGTTACTTCGTTGTGAAGTAAAGTGCAACTGATCGCATGCGAGTAGAAGCTTGCATATCTACGGCGATAGCGATGATTACGCGAAGAACCGTAATTATATATTACGCAACAGCAATAGTATCGATTGTTTTACGAGCAACTTTATCGCAACCTTTAAGTCCGACCAAAACGGACGAAGAAATAGAGAAGGGGTAACAGAAAAACAGGACACAGCGAGGCAGAGACACTTAAAGAGAAACAAAGAATATCTCTTGCTGACTTATCGTATGACGAAATAAAAATACATACAGCGTAAAACTGATCTTTTAGATGATTGCATTTGATTGATAATAACGGCAGCTAAGGGCAGCGACAGGGTTCTCTGGTGGGATATTGTCGCGGTTGTGGTTGTGATGGTCACGGTAGCGGTCGTAGTGATGGTGATAGTGGTGCTAGTTGTTGTTGTTGTTGTGACATTAACGGATTGGGAATTATTGGCGGAATGGGGATGACTCGCTACCGAATGACGACGTCTAGTAGTAGTGGCACAGTTGGTATTAGTCGTGGCAATCCCAGCAGTCCCAGCACCGGTACCAGCAACGACTGCAAACCACACAGCTCTCACTGTCGTACAATTACTTCCTTTTTCGTCTATTTTTTCAGAAAGATTCATTGACTCGATGCTGATAATATAACGATGATTCGATAAAAAAAAGTCGCTATAAAATACGACTTTCTCTGGATGATTTTACTTAATGGACGATATTTTTAATTGTAACTTTTGTAAATTTGATCATTACTTTGTTTCAAGTGTTTACATTTGTTTTTCTCTGCTCGATTTCGTTAATATGTATATATACTACCGTCTACCAACGCGAGATTGAAAGATATTGTGCAATACCTAGGAACTTGGATACGAGTTCGCGACGATCTAATCGATAAAACGTCGTCAACTTTGCTACAATGTTATGAAATTAAAAAAAATATCGGAAATTTTATACAATTATATTTTTTTTCTCTAAAATGAGTCTACCAATTATTCGACATGTTTATCTAGAAACAAAAATGTTTATTTACGATAAAAGGATAACGTATAATAATTCGATTCGACTGAATTGTAATCGCATCTATCACCCTTCGATACCCACGTGTCATGACAATGGAAAAAGCATACAACTACAATGACAGAAAACAGACCCGTGACTGTATTGCAAGAAGAGGTACTCTGAGTCTGATTAGACTGCTCCTGTTCCTGCAGTGGGTCCACCTGCTCCTTGTGCGTCCTGTGTTCCTCTGTAATACCCGCAACCCATTTGTGTTATTCTAAAGCTAACTTTTCAATTGTACATATCGTGATTCAGCTGATATTTTAAAGCATATAATATAGCACAGTTATGGTATGGTCTAAAGAAATCTATATCTTGGGCAACTTACACATGGATATAAAAGGAATACGTAAGAGGATGATTCCTGTACAAAGGTGCATTAAACATCGAGTGTTCGAGAAAAGTCAAATGCTAGAATATTATAAACACGCAGTAAACTTATTTACATAACTGAAAGTGTGTTTCTGTGGTCGATGATTGTGAAAAGAAATTGCGATAAACCATAACTGATATAGTTAGTGTCAAGATGTGCTTAGGAATGAATGATATTTTCAGGGTAAGGCTTACCCAAAGGTGAAAAATTATGGAATTTTTGTCCAGCATGTCGACGTGGTAGAACAAAGATTGGCTTGCTGGCCTCTGTCGCAGAACAGCTACGCATTCTTTGTCGTGGTTCCACATCGTCTTTACTACTGCTAGAATTACTCATAGCATTCATGATAGCGGCATGCATATTGCTTGTAATGTTGCTATCTTCAGCTTCCATCCACAATTCTCCACCACCAGTGATCGCTGAACGACCTACTTCCATATAGAAGATACGACCCATATGTCCGCATCGTCTTATGCAATTTAACTATGAAATAAAAATTGTTCATTAATTACATTCCTTAAACCTAATAAACTTTTTCACAAATTTCAGACTATGTCACTTATTAAGATAGCAAGCTTACAGGAAATTCAATAGAATCCGAATTATCCTTTGCTCCAATTTTCACCAGACTTAATGTTCGATCAGTTAAACATAGCCTATAGGGACCAAAAATATTTTTTCGTTCGCCTAGTCCTTTTTTCTGCATTGTAACTTGCCATACATGTTCTGAAATAAAACATTATGGTTATCTCGTTAGAATTGATACTATATAGCAGTACTGCGAAGAGAAAATTTGTTTAATTTTAATGTTATAAGTCATATTCTTAAATATTACTTTTGTTTTTCATGGGTTTGTGTATCTTGTAAACTATTCTTATATCGAATAACAATTTTGTTCGCAGCATCTCATACAACACAAATTGTACATACAAGACGTTCTTCATAATTTTTGTCCTTCTCTCCTACATAAATTATTTTTATGATTACTGTGGTATATATATTTCACGCATATTTTACTGTGTTTTCCCATTAAGTCTGATGGGTAATTGTTGCCTTTAAGAATAGTTCTTATTATTTTTATATTGCCTTCTTTGAAATTTGTATACAAAAGTTGAACTGCCCTGTTCTGTTATATTTTATGTTAGCATATGGTTTAACGATGTCAACATCAAAATTAAACAAATTTCGGAAGGTTCACCGTGATCAACAAAATTAAATCAATCTCTTTATTATGTATTGCACAATTATAAATCAGTTTCTTTCAAACATTATTTATTATTATGAGACGGTTTCGTTCGCAAGTAAAGTAATAAAGATATTTCGTTACTATCGAGAGAATTAGTTAATCCATCGTTAAATTGCATTAAATAAATTATTAAATTGTATTATACAATGATCACGCAAGTCGGATACATTTTTTAGAATTCTAAACATATAAGGAAGTTCGATTAAATAATTACGAAATCAACTTTACAAATCAAACGTCTACATTATTATAAGAGAACAGTTTTAAAGTAAATTTGTAAAAAGAAAAATTAATCTCTAATTCGAGAGATCCGCTAATAGTTTGCCTTTATCGAGGTGTTTGCGCGGAAAAGTGAAGCCTGAGACACGCTGTTATAGACAATGACGCATTTGAAATACAGGTAAACAACTGGCCCGAAACTCCAAAACATCGAAGTTTACTGCCGCTCGTTATTTACGAGGGATCGAGGAAGAGAGCGCGACCATCGAAATTATCAAAGAAATTTTCGTCCACGAAACGCGTTCGTCTTCAATATGCGGTCTAATTCTAATTCAAACCGTAATAGCACATTACCAAATATAGGCCGAGGTTGTTCTCCATCGGCCACATCTCCGGTCTGAAGTAAAAGCATCGCCTTCAGCCATTCGTCCAGTTCTTTTTCGCTCTCGAGAATCAAACAGAAGCATTCGTCTTTCGTATACAACGCGATAACGTGCTTGTGTTTAGTGTCCTCGCGTTTATTGATATTGAAGCAGCTGTTTAGTATGATCCTACGCTTCGGCGGCTGCCTATTGTCGAACTTCTTTTTGCCATCGTAGTATTCGAGACAGGCGGGGTATCCTGGCGCCTCGCCGCGCAACACGAAGTATTTCTTCTTTTGGGTCTTCAATTTCTTTACATGGCCGCAGCGAACAACGGGACCTCCTGAAGGGGAGACTAAACCCCTGCCCGAAGACATCGCCGCGGTGACGATCAAAAAGGCCGTCGTTGCGATGAATCTTACGAGACCTCTAATCACACCTTTCTATCCGTATTATTTATATGGTACGAAGCAATCGTGGATAATTGGTCGCGTGCATCTTGTACCAAAACATGCTATTCCGATAGTTCATCGTAGACAGAATGCGTAATCCCACCCACGTTGCCGTAAGGAGCTCGTACTACACTTCCGTTCTCAATTATTACTTGAGAAATACGATCGTGGAATCCGTGTACGCGTGACCACGTTTCACTGCTTTCGCGCACATGTTTTCGAAAAAAGAACAAAAATAACGTTTTCTCAAAACTCGCGTAATCGTGTTGTATTGTTTTTCTCCGCGCAACGTGTCCACCGTGCTGCTTTTATCGCGGAAAGGTCGTCGTCGATATCGTTGTACCCGAAGCACGCTAACGATGGAAGCACGTGTCGGGGGTAAATAAGCAATAACACGCCACCACGGTGCATGTGTACTCAACGTGTACTAAGGGCGTTGCATACTGCCCGACGCACCACGGACAAAGGTGTATTATCGACTGACCACGTTTTTCCGAGGTTATCGAATTAAAAAAAACGGCTAATCCCACGACGCGGAGACCCGAAAACTTGTTCGCAGGGCAGATTTCTCGGAAAAACCTGGAATCCGTGTACCTGCTCAGCTTTCCGCGATGGCGATTCTCGCGTAGCTCTAGCTCTGGGTTCCACCTGTCACGCGTTTTCGCCTAATTTCGCCCACCGCGATTTGTGGGCTCTGGTATATTACTCAGGACGGGCTGCGCGCAGTCTAAGTCTAAGCTCGAAAATATTCACCACCGTTTACAGCGTTTTACGTTTTTTTTTTTTTCACTTGAAACGTCTTTATCAGAGAACCGCTTAAAACCTCCGAGAATTGTTTTTCTGGGCTACGAGGCTCGTACACCTGTTTATCGCGTCGAATAACACGATTTACTGCGTGGTCGTCCACAATGGTTGGCGCGTATATACGTACACAGGCTGCACATATAAAGAAACGGTTGTACACACGATGATACAAGATAGAGAGAGACAGACACACGCGGGCGTGTTCACGTGTACAATGGGCCAAGCGGATTCTTGCCGTTTAAGGGGAAAATCACCAAGCTCCGGCTAACCTCTCTTCTTTCGTGGCGAACAGCTCGTTTCGCGTACGAAGAAAGCGCTTCGCGTCTGTGCAAAACCGTTTTCCCACTGACGGACTAGCTTTCAACCTTTTCAAACACCTAACCTATACACGCGTATCTACTCGCGGTGACATTTATCAATTTTTTAAATGTCTGAGGCGTACAACAGTCGCATTCGTACAGAATGGAAAATACCATTTTTGAGCATTGATCGCCAGAAACCAATCGATGCTCTATTCAGAAATGAAACAACAGTGTTTTAAAAAGTATCAGAAATTTGACAAGTGATGAGTTTTAAGTTGTCAGTTAAATGTCAATATACAGAGTTACACCGTAAATTCACAAAGTTTTAATCGTGTCACTCGCGAAGCGAAAATGCGAATGCAGCGAGCTATCGCTGCGGACAGAGCATCGTTATATCACAGTAATTCGTGGGACGCACATGGATTTGTATGTATCGAAAGGTTAAATTTGCTGTGCGCATCGATGTTGCGCAGCCGTCAAGAGTTTTAGCGCGCGAGACTGATCTGCGTCGCGAAGAAGAAGAGGGACAGCCAGAGCTTGGGAACTTTCCCCTTAAACGGCAAGAATCCGATTGGCTCGTTGTACACAACGCAGACGGAAGCATGCGCGCGCGCGCGCGCGCACTCCTGGCGGCTGGCTTGTTTGCTCGTTCGCGAGTATGTTTAGAGGAAATACGTAGAGAGGCAGAGAAAAAGAGAGAGGGCAGACAACGCACACGCAGGTGGGTGGTTGAACCCCTGTTATCGTCGGTTGGCGCGATGTAAAGGCGGCCTGTCTCGGATAAATAGGCTATTGTCAAGGGCAGAATGGTTTTTTTTTTCTCATGCGCAATAAGTAAGCACATCAAAACACGATGGCATTCCAGGTCGATGCGAGGTACACGCACTATTCTTCCCACACCCCTTGTATATCGAGCACTTCGCGGAAACACACGTACGGAGTTCACGGTGCTGTTAACAACATCACGGCAACGTGTACGCCTCGTCTTGAACGCGAACTCCCGAACGAGCACAACACGCGAAATCCGTTCACGGTAATCACATCTGCTCGAGGTGAAAAATTTGGGTCTCCTTTCGTACCCACCATCCCTCTCTGCCCCCTACCGCCCGCGTGCGAGCGAGCGACAAATAACCGCGTCACTTTGCGTTCACGAACCTGTGGCTTGACTATTTTTCCGTATAGCCAAGTTAAAGATCACCCGATTCCGTGGTACCTCCCGCCCACGTCAACATTCACGAACGACACGCACATATATCTTCGACTTTTTTCCGTCGCACGCATAGACAGCTAAATAGGCGCTCATGTCCATCTTGTAAAGGTCATGTGTATGGTAAGCTCCGCAGTTGTAAACAAGATGTACGCAGGCGCTAACCGCTCGAATGGCGGCGGCGACGGCGACGGCGGCGACTCGATACGCGATACGCCACGACTGTAAGTACACGGAACGTACGTAAGTATTTACGTACATACACATGCCGGGTGTCTCCTTTGCAGTGGCGTAACTATCATGTCGACTAAACACCGCAATGCGGTGGATCCTCCCGGAGGTCATTCAAGTTGCGCCTACATCCTTCCGAGAAACGTAAGTTATCGACAATCGAGGCTGGATGAAGTGTGCCTTTTAAATAGTGAATAACGAACGGCTCGTTTTATTTGACACTTTCAAATCATGTAAAATATCGTTGGATCTCGGTAAATCGAAGTCGAAAGGAAAATATTTCGGGTTATAGAGAATCTTTATTCGAATTTCGATTAATAGAAGCTCGGTAAGCAGACTCGACTTACGCAGGCGGCTGAAAATAAAACGGAAATAACGAAAGAGTTTTTCGATTTACGCCGTTTTATTTGAACTCGAGAATGATCGATAAATTTTATATTGATCGTTGCGCGTGTAAAGACTACGTAAAAGTGAATGGCCATTTATCGAATGCAGAAAGTATATCATCTTTATTTGCTCGTTCTTACTCACTATTATTTTCACGCGAGTCATCAAAACATTGTTTCGTCATCTTTGTTAACGTAGGAAACTTTTGAACGTTTAAACCGAGAACGGTAGATGGCCATCCCGTTTCATAAAATTTTCGAACGTTGAATAATCGTAAAGTTCTAAAATTAATTCTTTTCATTTTTTTATTGCGGATCGAAATGGATAATTCGAAAAATTTGCTTTTCAGAAATCATTTTTCGATGCTGGCTATACTTGCCAACTTTTCAAAATAATAATTCGATTTCATTCGAGCTAGTTTATTTAAAATAAACACAGCCAGGCCTAGATGCCATTTCAAATAACAGTCGCCAAAAGGAATGCGACTGAAATAGCATTTTAAATATAACATGAAAACTTAAGAAATAATACAATTTTGTTTGAACAACAAACGAGTAAAGTAAATGTAATCTATTTTGGTTTGACAATGAGAAGTAGAAGTAGAATAATACAAACTATGAACCAGAATAAAATTGTAAACAGAAATATTTTGTCGGTCATCCGCTTGAACGATTTATTTTATATGATCTATATGCAAATTCAAGAGCTGTTTATATTTTCACGGTTAGAAGGAATTTATGGTGCTATCAGTGCCAGTGGCGCATCTATGCGCGCGTCGAACAATGAATGACTTAACACAACTATGAGAACTATAACCATAGTTGAAAATATGCGCAACACTTTGGTTATGATACAATTTTCAACCATTATATTTGTTACGCCACTGCTTCCTTTAATATCTCACACTGACATAGGGCGTCGCAATATAGAGACGCGCGCTTGCACGAACATATATGCGTGCTTTCAAGTCAAGGTGGACGACTATGGATACACACATTTTGCTCGCGTCTTTCTAGGTATTGGATCCTCATCGGCAGTGTCATTTGTAAACACATACGTAAGCATATAAATAAATTCCACTGTACTAATCGGTCGTATTAATCGTCTTTAGCAGTATTGATGAAATTTCTAGTAAATAGTGAGTCATAATATTGTATAATTTAAAAATTAAACATGGATGTGATTAAATTTACGTTTAATAAAAAAATATATGTGACAGTTATATTATTTATATAATTGAATGATCCTGTTATAATATGTAGATAAGTGAATTACGTGTTTCATAAAGCCCCCTGAAATATTAGATATTCGTATACAAGGTTCAGAGTTCGTATTCGACCGTTTTTTTTTTATATGTGATTCGTACCCGCGCGTACGAAAATATAGATTACAAATGGAAATAATTAAAAATTATAAAATTATATTTTTATTGCATCGGAGGATAAAAAATTTTTCTGAATAATCTTGAACTTAATTATTGAAAAAATACATTTTATGGTGGTATAACAACATATCTTAGGTTACATAAATACAATTTAAACGTATAAAAATAAAATATTTAATTTATAGATTATTAATCCATTTATACTCAAAGAATACTGACTTTAGGTGTTCTGGAAATTGGGTATCTCTTGTTTCGATATTCTTTAGAAATGAAGATATATTTACAAGCCTTATAGGTCTATTGTGGAAGAAAATCAGAATATCTAATTATCGCTATATAAATGATCTTTGGTATTAATTATGATATGTAAATCAGCAACTTCTCAATGGAACAATCAGTCATGAATAATAATACCTTACAAGTAATACAATGTATCAGAAAGTGATGGATTAGGTTCCAATTGTAGATTTTGTCCGACAAGAGAGACGAGTTTATGTGCATACTGGCAAGGAGCTGGAACTTTTATAGTGCCAGGCCAATTATAATATAAGTGGCAAAGCTTATACGTCAATCGTTGTATATGTTCAGCCTTCATATTTTTATTATCGTAGGCAACAATGTAGTGTGTTGGCGATACTGTACCCATTCGTATATTCTGAGATACCAAGAAGAAATCGTAAAGATCCGCTGATTTCGTTATATGAGAATCCACAATTGTCCCTGGTGGCGGATTCTGTAGGTCCTTTGACTAAATGTACATAAATAAATTATATGATTAAACGGTACAAATTATCAATGCATGTTTTTTTTTCGTTTAAAAACTTACAGCTTTTGTAAATAATCGCGTGTTGATACGTTTGTGAACTATCACAACGGTTAACGTCGGCTGATAACTTGGTTCTATATTTTTAAATGTTGCCAACATTTGTTTTACTTCATACTTAGTAACAGTTTCTATTTGACCATCGCCAACACCATCCCGGTATACGATAATACGATCCGGGTACAGTTTATTATGCTGTAATAGAAAGTGTAATAATACTTTACATACCCAATTCGATATCGATTCCGAAATTCTAATGCATGTATACAATAATAATTAGTTACCTTGTAGTAAGCTTTTATTGCTGAAATTAAGCAAATCTGTAGCATATCAACTAGTTCTTGGTGTCGACCTTGTAGACAAATTTTACTGTGCCAAGTTGTTAGTGCTTTGTCGAGACTCGCTACAAATCCTGCAACGCTCCCTTTTGTTGATTGACCAATACCTGCATGATACACGTCTATTCCACATATCATGCAATTGTCCTAATACAGTAACATTTAATAATCATATCTATTTTTTTAAGCAAAATTAAAGTTAGAAATATCTATTTCGTACCATTGGCACAGCTAATGCCCAAAGTGCACCACCTAATTTACAGTTAATTTGTAAGGCAATTTTTTCTGTTATACTTTTTAACTTATCCCCGCGAGAAATAGTTCTGGACATAATTACTTGAGAAGGTATAGGCATTTCAACGCAGCACACTCTACAGAATAAGTAGCATAATTACACTAGGAAGTAATCATTTTTAGATGAACAAAGCGACAGTGTACCTCTTCACTGCAGAATATCTATCGGTTCGATTTGTAGGAAATATAATAATCGCTAAATTTACTGTTTGTTGAATGTTTCTGCGTAATTCTTGTACGTATGTTTCAATTCTATCATCTCTTAAACAAACCATGTGTGGGTCCCTAACAGATATACCCATAACTTTTGCTACATTTTTGAACATACTAACAAATTCCTGTGCACACCTCGTATCCTTTTGACAGTGCAAAACGCACCATTGATTTAAATTAGTCTAAAAATATAATATAATATAATATAATTATAAAGTTTAAAACAACGTGATATCAAATTTTATACATATATGGAAAATACTTACAGTTCGATATACAACATTTCTACAAGCAGCAGAACTCCATTCTGCAGGTCTATTAGGTGGAGCTGTAAACTTTCTATTATTACCAAAACATATCTCTTCAGGCTCGAGAGCTCTTCCACAAAAATCTACTATATCTGATTCTAACTCTAAACCCCAATTAGCTAATATTTGTCGCGGTACTTCGTTATCTTTTATTTGCTGTACAAATTGTCTTAACTCAGCACGACGAGCATTAGGTGACATTTTAGTTATTGCATCCAGATCTTTCATTACTCTAAAGTCTGAACGAATACTTTCAGTTAGAGTTGCTATATAACATAACTCAGGAACTAACAGTATCAGTCTTTCTTGTGTCTATATTTGAAATAACAGAAACAATCAATATTTGAATTTTATATTCGTATAGCAATAACAAAGAAAGTACTTACACCACCAGCTGGTAACTTAGTTTTAGAACAATGAACCAATAATGGTTGGCCTAAATCTTTTATTTGTAGGTTCCAGTGCTGCTTATAATAATCCACTAAAGATATTTTATCATTTTCTCTCTGAAATGTATATGTTGGGTCTTTTTCCCACGCAATATCATCAACACGGTAAGTTTTATTATTATACCTTGTAAAAACGGATAATCCAATTAGTTCTCTCATTATCTTTTGCTGAAAGTTCGGATCCTTTCCAAAATTAACCCTGTATGTTGATTTGAAATAATGTTAGATTAAGTTTATATTGTTTGATACTTCACAAAATTGTTGGTGTATCTTACATTATATCACGCACTGTTTCCGTACGCATGACACGATGTTTTACATCTATGCATAACTTTAAACCTCCATCGTATTCATTAATAGCTGTGACATAGCCTGGCCACACTTCTAATTTGTGTTGTGGTACTGAATGTACACCTTTTGGATTTAAATTATGTCGTCCCATGCGAATTAAACTGAGAGATCGCATAACACGACCAAGTAAGACATTGAAGAATGGGATGTTCTCTGACATACTTTGCTCTTTTTTGTATGTTAGGGTTAGTGTTACAGTAGACCCATCCATAGGATGCGTAGATTGAAGAACAGTTCTCTAAAATTTGTATGTCATACATATTTGTAAACACTTTCTCTTACTATTATTATTACTTACATCTGTTTGTAATTT